ATCATCTCTTCCCCCGGTTTATGGATAAGTGGGGCATATTTTTGGCATTGTGCGCAGTGTTGAACGTATCGGTGTGTGTCTGCTTTCATACCGGGCCAATAATATCCTGCCCGATATAACTTTTGCATGAGGGCTCGAGCTCCTCCATGCTCACCACAACCACCTCGATGTACTTCATCCAGAACTTGCTTTATTTCCTGCTTTCCCAGACATCTTGCGTCTACTGTGGTGAAGTTCCTTTTATATAATGTCCCATTCCGTACGAAAAAGTGCCTTGCCTTATATGCCAAGCGGTGTTGTTCTCTCTTGGTGCCAGCTCGCTCTCCTCTGAAGTATTTGAACAAAGGCGTTCTCCAATCGGGCTCTTCATCTATTACCATTATGCCCGGTGTTGGGGTAGGGGCAATAAGGATAGTGATCTTTCTTTCGATACAATCGACAACTGATGATCCGACTTTAGCGAGAAAGTCAGCTCGCTGGTTGTCGTTTCTCGGAATTTGATGCATGGTACAGACCTCAAAAGTTTCTTGTACAGCTCGGGCTTTATTTACATAACTCTTCATTCTGTCGTTCTTTATTTCGTAGTCCCCTTCGAGTTGGTGTATTACCAATTGAGAGTCGGAGTATATTCGCACCACCCGTGCTCCGAGCTCTTGAGCGATCTCCATACCTCGGATAAAGGCTTCATACTCTGCTTCATTATTGGAGACCCGAGGTAACCTAACTGCAAACTCGACCTCTGTTCCAGTGGGATCAATAACTATTATCCCTGCCCCCGCTCCCGAGGTTGTAGATGAACCATCTACGTAGATTTTCCACTCTTTCTCGATGGGTATCCTGGTGGTTTCTCGGATGAAGTCCGCTAGCGCTTGTCCTTTGACCGAGGTACGGGGCTGATATTGAATCTCGTACTGTCCCAGCTCGATGGCCCATTTAACAATTCGCCCTGACGCGGTAGGTTGACCTAGGGTCTGCCGAAGGGGCAAGCTTGTGCGAATCACCATGGTATGCGACAGGAAATAAGGCCGGAGCCGTCGCGTAGTGAGGACCAGCGCGTACGCTATTTTCTCGACTTCAGAATATCGGCCTTCCGACGTAGTGAGGATCTTGCTAGTATAGTAGATCGGTCGTTGTTGATTATTAACTTCCTTAAACAAAACCGAACTGATGGACTCATCGCCCACTGACAAGTATACGAACAGTGTTTCACCTTTTTCAGGGGTGCTAAGAATCGGCAGGCAAGTAAGGGATCGTTTTAATGCTTCGAATGCGAGCTGGCATTCGGTGGTCCATTCGAACTGAGCTGTTTTCCTTAGCACTTTGAAGAAAGGCAGGCTTTTATCAGCCATTCGAGATATAAACCGAGCCAGAGCTACAACTTTTCCCGCCAAGGATTGGACTTCCTTGATGGAACGAGGAGGTGTCATCTGAAGTACGGCCTCTACTTTATCTTGGTTTACCTTGATGCCTTCTCGATTAACGATGTATCCCAGGAACTTCCCAGCTTGTACTGCGAATGCACACTTAGCAGGGTTCAACTTCATTCCGTATAAACGAAGAGTTGCAAAGGTCTCAGCTAGGTCTGCGAGATGCGTAGAGCGTCTCTTGCTTTTAACTAACATGTCATCAACATAAACTTCAATGTTGCGTCCGAGTTGAGCCCGAAACATCCTATCCATTAATCGCTGATACGTGGCTCCGGCATTTTTCAGGCCGAAAGGCATTACCACGTAACAATAAGTCCCTGAGGCGGTGACAAAACTGACTGCGGGCTGGTCCTTTTTGTCTAGTGGAATTTGGTGGTATCCTTGCGAGGCATCCATCATACTAAGTAACTCGCATCCAGCAGTGGCATCTACGAGCTGATCTATGCGAGGCAAAGGATAATCGTCTTTCGGGCAGGCCTTATTTAAATCTCTGAAATCGATACACATTCGCCATTGGCCATTGGCTTTTTGTACTAACACCGCATTAGACAGCCATGTAGGGAACTGAATTTCCCGGATGTGTCCGATTTCCAGAAGCCGTTGAACTTCCTTCTGTATGATCTCGTCTTTCTCGGTACCGAAGTGTCGCCGTTTTTGCTTGACGGGCCTGCACTCGGGTCGTAAATTAAGCCTGTGTACAGCAGTTCGTGGCGATATACCGGTCAAATCGCTTGGTTGCCAAGCAAAAACATCCTCATTAGACCGCAATAAAGCTATCAACTCATCTCGGAGAGGTGGTTCTAAATCCTTACTTATCCGGGTCTGTTTCATCATCCCGGGGACGAGGTCAATTGTCATCAATTCGTCCATGGGTTGTACATGATTAACCTTATCCTCTGGATCAACTCGGGGACGCTTCTCGTCTCCCAAATCTTCTTTGGTAAGGGTCTCGCGTCGGCCCTTCTCTGCTACCTTAACCATTTCGACGTAACACGATCTCGATTGGGCTTGGTCGCCCCTGACCTCTCCCACCATTCCATCAATTGGAAACTTAAGCTTTTGATGAATGGTTGAAGGGACCGCCCGAAAGGTATGTAACATAGGTCGCCCTATCACGATATTGTACGAGGTTGGCGACCCTTCGACAATGACGAAATTGACAGTTTGAGTGCGTGCCCGAGGTGGCGTTCCTATAGTGACAGGGATTTTAACTTGTCCGACCGGTGTCAGGGATCCCCCCGTGAACCCGAATATCGGAGTAGTGACAGGGAAGATTGGGAGGTCAAGCTCCATTTGCAGGAAACATTCGTAGGATATAACATCCACCGAACTTCCTGGATCAACGAAGGCGCGAGCGACATCGTACCCCCCAACGTTAATCGTGATGAGGAGAGGGTCACAATGGAAATCCTCTAGGTCCGCTTCATCTTCCGGACCAAACGAGATAGTGGGATATTGACGATACTTCGGTGTCGAGATTTGGCAAACCTCATGATTATTTTTGAGGCTACCGAGGTGGCGTCTCCTAGCCCGGTGAGTATCTCCTCCCGTAGGACCCCCCGAAATCATCTGAATGTACCCTCTTTTCGGTGCTGGTGGTGGTGGCGGTGCTCGTGGCGGGTTCCCAAACTGGGCTTCACGCTTTTGTCCCCGAGGTGAATCTATCTTCACAAAATCCCCGATTTTGTTATCTCTAATGAGACGTTCCACTTCGTCCTTCAGATGTGCGCAATCGTCGGTCGTATGTCCATATTCATTATGAAAACGGCAAAAAGTACCCAACGTTGGATCTCGACGGGGGGCTCCGCGAGCAGTTCGAGGCCATCGTAGATCAGCCCTCTTCTCAATCGCGCACAACACCTGGGACAGAGGAGCCGTAAGGGGCTGATATGATTGAAAACGAGATCCCTTAGCATCCGGGACAATACTCCGACTAGGGGCATTGGCATCCCTGCGAGGTAACATGAGCTCCCTGCCTTTCTTTACTTCGCTGACTCGTGCATTTGCGACTTGGTGAGATTCTTCCATTTTCTGTTGGCGGGCCTCTTCTAAATTGATGAACCTAGATGCCCTTTCTAATAGGTTATCGAAATCAGGGGACGGCTCCAGCGCCAAAGCTCGGAAAAACTCATCATCTCTCAGTCCTTGAGAAAGAGCTGCCATGAGTACCTCATCACTGGTGGTCGGGACTTCCAGGGTGGCCGAGGTGAACCGTTTGATGTAACTCCTGAGGCTTTCTTTCTCCTTTTGGCGAATGCTAAATAGTGACAGGGAGGTTTTTTTGCACTTCTTTGAGCTGGCGAACTGGTTCATGAAAGCCTTGGCAAATTGCTCGAAAGATTGTACGCTCCCGGAAGGCAGCAAACCGAACCAGGCCTGAGCAGATCCGGCTAGAGTAGTAGCGAAGGCACGACATCTCACCCCTTCTGTGAGCTGATGAAGCGATGCTGTATTGTTGAAACGGCTTAGGTGCTCGGCGGGATCCGATGTGCCATTGTACTCGAACGAAATGGGTCGGTAGCTAGCTGGTATGGGGTCATCATCAAGGTGTTTTGCGAAAGGGCTAGATCCCACGAGATCTCGCGCTGGCCTGTTCCGTAAGGCCTTTAATTCATTCATATCGCGTCTCAGGCTGTCTACCTCGGTCCTGACTCTATGACTATCGCCTCTTCGATTTTCCGAATAACTGTCGCCTTCGTCATCAGCTCGTCCCTCGTTCGGGGAATGTCTGGGATCCCTCCTGAGTCGGTTATCGTGAGGTAAACTTTGGGTGTAGTTTCTGATGGCCGCGGTGATCATGGTTTCCACCTCGTCTCGGGTATACGTGCGCTCATTGGGAGCCTGAGCGGGGGTTGTGGCTGGCCTTCTCGAAGCAGCTTCGCCATCCTGGAACTCGAAAGAGGGGCTGCTTGGAGCGAAGGGGATCCGGCCCTCCTTTTCAGGTGTAAGGAAGCTACACCCCGATTTATCTTTCTGAACGGATGATGGGTCAACCGGTGCACCACGGGCTACCGCATCCAAATCCTTCTGCAGATTCCGGGCGACTGCATCTTCTCCGTCCATTCTTTCTCCACGTTCTCAGCTCAGATCCGGACTTCCGGGGGTAGATCTGATTTTTCCCGGAAGCTGTTTTCCCAAAACTTCAGGACTTTCCCACAGACGGCGCCACTTGATTTAGTCCGTAGGTCTTCGTCTTCCTCAAGCCAGCTCCGCTCGTACTCCGGGTGAATAAACCTGCAACGCCGGGAGGGGTTCCCGGCGGGAAAGCTCCGACGATCAAGTCAGTGATCGGAAATAGAAAAATGTATATGCAATGTAATAGTGATTAGTGTAAAAATCTCATCCCTTTGTGTGTGTGTTGATTCTCTTATTTATAGATGAGGAAAGCTTGGCCTCCAAGGCTTTCCTTTTTTAGGGTTTCTCTTTTCCCCCAAGTCATGTATCTTGGGCCTGTATTGTCCTGGGCTCGCCTTACCTCGTTTTGATATTGGGCTAGCGAGTTAAGGTACTCCCAAGTAGTTCCGGGGTTCGCACCATACGACGACTTCGCTCGCGGTACCGAGCTAAGACATCATGGGTTCTTCATTATGGGCCTATCGTATTGGGCTTACTCTAATGGGCTTATGTTTATTTATTAATTGTCAATCAAGCCCGTATCACCTTCTGAATCGCAGTATTTATAATTTGTAGTTTTTATTTATAATAATATGCTGTTTTGATTTGTTTTGAATAGGTGTTCTTAGCGCCGATGTTTATGCGAGGTACTGCAGAAATAGAGGATATAATGCACTCTATATCTGTGGTACCGATGAATATGGTACTGCTACTGAAACCAAGGCAATTGAGGAAGGATCTTCTCCTCAACAAATTTGTGATAAGTAAGTAGTTTATTAGCTCACCTCTATGCTTTTCCTTTTCATTGAAATTTTATTCGGATTTTTTTGGATTAAAATTCAGAAAACAAAATAATTTTTCTTTATTTTTCCAGATATCATGCAATTCATAAAGAGGTGTATGAGTGGTTCGATATATGCTTCGATGAGTTTGGGCGAACCTCAAGTCGGCAGCAGACTGAAGTATGTCAAGCAATTTTTAAGAAACTATTGGAGAATGATTGTTTTTCAGAAAACACAATGCAGCAGCCAGCAGGTGCAATATTTTTCCTGAACTAATATTCTATCGTTTTTTTTTTTTGTTTTTTGGTGAAGCTTATCAATCAATTTGTTTTTGTTTGTGAAGCTATACTGCGATAGATGTGAAAGATTCTTGGCCGACAGGCTTGTGGAGGGTAATTGTCCAACACCTGGTTGTAATTACGATTGTGCGCGTGGAGATCAGTGTGACAAGTGTGGGAAGCTCTTAAATCCCACAGAACTACTCGAACCAAAATGCAAGGTCAGGAATCTTCTTGCTAAAGATACATACTCTTTTGTCCATTTATTAACATTAAAAAAACATAGATATTCACATTTAAAGGATTTAAAAAAAAAAAATTGAGATAGTTGTGCGTAATGAACAGGTTTGTCGGGGTACTCCATGCATTCGTGATACAAACCACCTGTTTATTGAACTTCCAAAGCTGAAGGATAAGTTGGAAGAATATATCAGCTCCACGTCAGCGTCTGGAGGGTGGAGTCATAATGCTATACAAATAACAAACTCTTGGCTTAGAGAAGGGCTTAAACCACGATGCATCACAAGAGATTTGAAATGGGGTGTTCCGGTTCCGCATGAGAATTTTAAGGACAAGGTAAATCGATTCACTTCACTTGGCCATGAAGTTATTTTGTCGCTTGGAATTAGTTATTAAAATGTTGGTTTTCAACAATTTGGTGGTTAGGTGTTTTATGTATGGTTTGATGCACCTATCGGATATGTCTCAATCACTTCATGCTACACGACAGAATGGGAAAAGTGGTGGAAGAATCCTGATAATGTGGAGCTGTACCAGTTTATGGGAAAGGATAATGTGCCTTTTCATACTGTAAGTCATTAAAAATATTTTCTTTTATGTCGAAGCTGTTGTGTTGATACTACTTTCGTGGCATGTTTTATTACTAATAGTATTACACCTTTGTATAAAATTTTCAGGTGATGTTCCCATCCACTCTGCTTGGAACAGGTGAAAGCTGGACTATGATGAAAACAATCAGTGTTACAGAATACTTGAACTATGAATCAGGTTATATATGCAGTATCACATATATAAATATTAATTGCTTGACACTGTTGTGTGATATCTCCCTTTCCTAAGCTATTGTTGAATTGATTTTCCGTTATCGCAATGTTTCCATTGTTTTTTTTTTATTTTAGGGAAATTCTCCAAGAGTAAAGGTGTAGGAGTGTTCGGAAATGATGTAAAAGACACAAACATTCCCGTGGAGGTTTGGAGATACTATTTGTTGGCAAATAGGCCAGAGGTAAGTTCTTCGTAATGCACTTCCTCTTATGTTTTCTTTGTTAGATTTTGTTCGACAGAAATTAAAAAAATGTTGAAATGAGATTAAGACAAATTTCTGGTTTTCCGAAGGGTTTTCGAATAGTTAGATGATATAGGTGGCAGTACTGATGAAGTTGCTTAGGTTTTGCTTGTAATTATGAGCGATTTGAGTGGTATTTAGTTGGGTGCAGTAGTGAACTTTTGTTATTGTCAAATTGGAGGTAGATTGATTTTTATTTTCTTTTGTGGAAATGGCGAACAATGGTGTTGATTTGTGATTGTTTCTTCAAATCAGGCATGGTGTTATTCATTGTTTGATATGAGGAAATGGTGGTATGGTTGAATTTGTTGTTAGTAGTAGTATGTTGGATGCGTTTTTTTCAAAAACAAAAAAAGAAAGAAAGAAAGAAAGAAAAGAACAAAAACTTCACCAATGTTAAAAAAACATGTCATAGTAAAAACTAGTTGCATACATGTTTTATATTGTGCCAACTCACTAACAAACACCGATTACTTTATGAATTCGCAATATTAGGCATCAGACACAAAATTCGAATGGATAACTTTGAAAGATAAGTTGAACGGTGAGCTGGTGAACAATCTAGGAAACTTCATCAACCGAGTCTTGAAATTCATTGCCAAAGATCCAGGTATTTTCAATCAATGGAACTTCATCAAATCCATTTTTTTGGTTAATCACTTTTCTTATTTTTAGCATGCAAATCATTTTACTAAAACTTTAATTATCTAATATGGATGTTTGTTTGCTAGATAAAACTTTAATCTCTGAGAAGTCCTAAATATAATATGGTTCGGTAGTACATATTGGAATTTCGTTAATGCTAGCATTGATTTGTGACTTTCCAAGTCTTATCAATCAAATTTTTGAAGACATGTTGTATCTGAATGGTGCTTTTTTTATGGTTGCAAAGGGTGTTTAATTTCTGTATTGTTAAATAATTATTTGGTTTATGAAAATGTAAGCACAGGATATAATTCCATCATTCCCAAAGCTAAGTGTATTGATTCTCATCCACCGACGAAAGACTTTGGATGTGAAGTTGGTAAACTTGTGCAAGAGTATGTAGATGCAATGGAAAAGGTAACCAATTTCTTAATTCAGTCTCTTTGTTCTTTATTGGTATATAATGACCCTCATTCAACCGTGACATTTAAATGTAGGTGAAACTAAAGGAAGCCTTGAACAAAGCCATGGATATATCTAGTAAAGGAAATAGATATTTGGAAGTAATACTTCTTCCTACATTGCTCCATTTCTCTTTTACAATATGCTACATTATTAGGCAATAATATTCAATTTCTATGATGTAGGAAAACAAGTACTATAAACTTTACAAGACAGATGAACCTACGTGTGCTATGATTCTAAAAACTTCAGCTGGAGTTGTGTATCTGCTTGCGTGCCTGCTTGAGCCTTTTATGCCCTCTTTCTCACTCAAGGTAATCTAAGAGCTTCAGTTTGATGTCAATGGAATGGCAAATAATATAACTTGTAGTATAATAAATGATTGCTCGTGTTTTTAATACCATGTAGGTACTTATGCAGCTGAATTTGCCAGGCGTTTCACTCTCGGACGACTTAGTCGAAAGGGCTAAAAGGCCATGGGAGATCGTACTTGCTGAACATAAAATCGGAACTCCATCACTATTGTTCAAAAAAATGGTATCCTACGTTTGTCTATTCCACTTGTTAGTTTAAAAAAATTCTACTTTAAACATTTGATCTCGATAATTTGCAGGAAGATGCGGATGTAAAATTTTATCAAAATAAATTTGCCGGTAGTCAATCAGATAGGAAGGACAGCAAGCTGAAAGCTGAAGTTACTGCTGCTGCGGCAAAGAAAGGTTTCACTTTTTATTTTTTTACTTTTTCTTCAACATATTGTGCAAAGTATTTTTGTGATCCTTCTTCTCTATCCTAGAGTTTGTTTAATGTTATGCTCACTTAATCTTATGTTTATTCTTCTAAAGGTTGTAAATCTTCGAAGAAAGAGAAGCTGAAATTTTTTGCCAAAACAAACACCCAGTGTATAAACCTCGAAGAAATGCAGGGTTTGCCTTCTACTTTTCTGCAGATTTCATGTGTGTTTTACTTTTATGTATGTTGCATTGATTACGTGAAACAGCTTAGTTATTGCATTAAACTCAACAATTTTCTTTGTATCAGGATTGTGAAGCATTGTAGTCTTTGTAAACTGAATCGAGAAGCTTTTGCGGTGGTCTGTTCTATTTCTAATCACAAAAGGGTATGCAACCATGTCAATCGTCCTGAATCAAGCCGGGAGAATTCGATTCGATAGTGAGAATGAATGCTCACTAAACTCACGTAGTTAGTTGAAGCTACTCTATGACAGACTTGTTCGATACGAATGATGGGTTTTATGTTTTTATTTATATTTTGTACCATGTATTTGAAGTTGCCATAGTTATCAAATTTGAGCCTTATCTCCCCTATCTTTATATATAAAAGAAAGGTTTTACCCCGAAACGCTAATTCTATTTTTGTGAAATATTTACAACCCTAAGGTTAAATTAGTATTTTTATTGTTTAATAACTGTAATTTTCTTAATCTTTTTGAACGACATTAAAAAATTTCAACTGACCCAATTTTCCTCGCTGAAAAACTTCTCACGTTCATAAACTTCTCCTCCAAACAAATGTATGTTAGTTGTACGAGCTATTGTTCGCCTCTGCCTCAATTTTGGGGGTTTTGTAAAAAAAAAAAATCTTTAGTAGGGTTTGAAATCTTATTTTTCTTGATTATTTTGCCGATATTTCCTTTTGTAATCGAATGTGTTTGTTGAATTAAGGTAATCAATTTTTTTGTTTTTCATTTTTTTGTTCTATCTTTAATCCTTCCTATTTTTTGGTTGTTTTGATGTCAGATTAGGTCTTGCAAAGATCGAGAGATCTTGATGTTTGGATTCCTCCACCAATTTACAATTGCAAACCCTAGAAACATGGTTCACTCTCATCAGGTGGGTATCGCCCATTTCCTTTTCTTCGCCGTTTCCTTGCATCGATCTTCTCAGAAACCGCTCCCTAGCAATTTTGTTTGATGTTACATTTTACTATTTTTTTTTTCTTTTAGTTTTGCAGATGTCATAAGACTCGCATAGAGACTCATTAATTGAATACAGTGAGATGTTTTTACATGTCATTCTCTGTTCATTCTTCAATATTTTCTGTTGTTTGGTTTTTTGAATTCGAGATTAGATTCTTCAAAAATAGGGAACTATATATTGATGTTTCGATACATCTAAAAGAAAAAAAATTATATGGAATTTTTATTTTGATTTATTTTCCTTTTTGGATCTGGAAAATCATTCTCTATAACACAAGGTCTGTGTTAGAGAAACAAAAATATTTTCCTAATCAGCCCTGTGTTTGTCACGGTCATTATCTTCTTGGTTGACAAATTATTTTTTATATTTCTTCTTCTTCGACTTCTTATTTAACTTTTTATTTTTCTTCTTCTAAACTTACCTTATTTAAAACAGTATCTTGATTATAAGAATGAGTTTATCGACTTCTTATTTAACTTTTTATTTTTCTTCTTCTAAACTTACCTTATTTAAAACAGTAACTTGATTATAAGAATGAGTTTATCGACTTTCCTTGTTGGATTTAACATTTCGAATCGTTAATTCCTTCCGCACTTCTCTTTTGTCGGAATATTTTTAATGTCTTGTGCCTGGGCATCTGTTTATTATTCAGACATTGAATTGCATGAAATTTATAAGATTTCAACGTATTGATGAATCTGGTGTGTCACCAATCGAATGTTCTTTCTGTTTTCCTTTTCTTTTTACTCTTTGTTGTTGAGAAATCTTGATATGGATATCATATATAATTTAAGCCCAACTTCTTTCACTTTATGGTTGTATATAAGTCATGACACCCTTTGTGTTTACTTTTTTTCCCCCTTGATTACTTGAAGGGGTTCGTTTTTATTGCATGTTTATTTATTTTTGGGGAAATTTGCTAGACACAAAAAATAATATAAATAAAATAAAATAATTAGTATATGGACATAAATAACCTCAATTAATAAGAAAATAAATCTCATATATCCTCTCTCCAATCTCACGTTTCTCTCACCCTATATTTAAATAATCATCTCTCTCCATCTGTCTCTCACGCCCCTCTCGTTCTTCTCTGTTCCTTTTTTTTTCTTTTTCTTTATTTTTTTTATGAAGAAATATTGAAGAGAAGGAAAAAAACGGGGATGTTTTTAGATTATGAGATGATTTCTTTGTGAAAGAATTAAAGAGGACAACGAACATCCCCTCCCCTCTCCTAAAGAAAATTTAGAAATCCAAAATTCTAGCCAAAATTCGCATTGTGTCTCCCGCATGCAGAACCTTCCCATCGTTTGTTGTTAGGAATTTTCGTTTGCAGGTTGCTTTAACTTCGTTTGTTGTTTGAAGAATTGCGTTTGGTGTTGAGAATCGATTCCCCTGGTTTAGAATTTGCAAGGTATGTCTTAGGTTACACTTTACAAACACTTTGTTTAATGTTTTTGCAATTTGCAACGTGTTCCATAAACAATTTTTTTGTTGGTGTTTTTAATGATTATGATTTCCTTTTAGTTTGTTGTTTGCATTTGGCGAAGTCATAGACAGTTTATTGCTTGCAATTCAATAGTGCAAGTTCCGCTGAATTTTTTTCTTCAGTTTGCTGTTTGTGCATTTGGCGAAGTCATAGATAATTTTTTGTTTGCAATTTAATTATGCAAATTCTGGATTTTTTATTGTTTTTTCAGTTTGTTGTTTGAATTTGACGAAATCATAGGTATTTTGTTGTTTGCAATTAAATAATACAAAATTTAATTTTCAGTTTGCTATTTGCAGTTCATAGAGCATAGGCGTCGCGGGAAGCGTCGCAGTTCCCGGAGTCACCGGTAGCGTTTTTAGAGTTCGAGTTTGTAAAATAAATTGTATATTTTTTTGTATGAATTAATTTAATTTTTTAGTTAATATTTGGAAGAGAGATTTTTGGGAATTTGTTTTGATAGAGAGATTTTATGAGATTTGATTTGATCTTAACTAAGGGTATTTTTGCCACAATAAATATTATTAATTTATTAAAACATGAATATTTTGACTTGGATTTACACACATAAATTATAATATAGAGGGACCTATAGTAAATTACCGCTTTATTTTTTTGATCTTTTTTTCTCTTTTCTTTTTCCTGCTATGGTTTGAAACATTGAACTTTTGCCCTAAATATTTTGGAGTAGATGTTACTTATTAAACACACTGTACATATGAACGTTTTTTATTTGCTTTCTTCTGTAGTTATAACTTCTTAATATGATGGCTTATATATCTTTCTTGATATGCAGGTTGTTTAAGATACCTTGCTAGGGATGGCCATGGGGCGGGTACGGGGCGGGTATCGCAATCCCCGCACCCGCCCCGTTTGAAAAATCAAGCAACCCTCACCCGCCTCATACCCGTTGCGGGTTGGAATTGTAGAACCCGTCCCCGCCCCATTTTGCACCCGCGGGTACCCGCCCCGTTTGACGACCCGTTTTTTTTCTCTCTTCCATTTTGACTTTTCCTTCTTACTTTGAATATAAAAATCAATTCTAGTTATGTTCCTTAAAAAAAAATAGCCTTGTTTTTTCCAATGCAAATATATATACTTGCTAATTACTAAATACGATTAAAATATAAATGCAAATCAACAATCATTTTATAAAATATAATATACATTATATTAAATATACATACAAGGGTATTATACGTAAATAAAAAATATGGGTGGTAAACGGGTCGGGTACGGGGGAAATTTTACTACACCCGTACCCGCCCCTTACCTGTTGCGGGTATAAATTGTAAAACCCTTACCCGCCCCAATCCTTAACGGGGCGGGTATAACCCGTTGAAAACGGGGCGGGGCGGGTACCCGCCGGGTCGGGTAATATTGCCATCCCTATACCTTGCCATTTTATTGTTCTAAGTTGTGATCCTTGGTGGGGTTAGTTTTCCTATTCTATCGATTATACTAGATTATATATGATAGATTTATTCATATTAGTTTTATCCCCACACCAAATTGGACAGTCTCTAGTGTGCTAATATACGCATTTATACATAAACAAAACATGCACTATTTTTTGTTCTCGGTTGATCCATTTTCTTATTTCATTTGCATTTATACATAGACAAAACATGCACTACCTTTGGTTCTCAGTTGATCCATTTTCTTATTTCCCCGGTGACGAGTTCTTGGAAGTTAGTGTATTCTTGGGTTACTCTTAAGGAACTGGTAATTTTCTTGGATTCATATTCTTTTCTTATTCAAACACATTATTTCATGATCCCTATTCAGCCTTTAAACTAATTAATCTTTAATTAATCATAACCAATGTTGTTTCTTTTCGAATGGAGCTACAATCAGATAATGGTACTTGAGAGATACTTGGCTAAGGGATGATCCTGATGAAAAAAAATGTTGAGTTATGTTAGAAACGGAAAAACTCCATTGGAGCTTGAGAGAGAAACCGAAACAGAAAAGAGGAGAAGATATTTTTATTGATAGAGGGAAAAACTTGATTAGTTAATTTACAACGGGAAAAAGAAGTATATATACAGCTGGACAAAGACAAAAGCGTTGTATATGTGATAAAAGTGCTATTCTAGAAACAACAACTTATACAAAAAATAAACTAAAATAATAAAAACTCTAATATTCCAATATTCCCCCCTCAAGATGGACTGGTATAAATGTTGAGAAAAGCCATCTTGGACAAGAGATGAGATAAAGCAGGAAGAGGCAGAGCCTTGGTGAGCACATCTGCAATCTGATCTGATCCTTTAACAGGCATTAACCGGAGCTTCTTAAGAGTGACTTGGGTCCGTACAAAGTGGCAATCAATTTCGATGTGCTTAGTCCGTTCATGAAACGTAGGATTGGAAGCAATATGGACAGCAGCTAAATTGTCACAGAATAACAAAGTAGAAACAGGAACAACATGAAAATCCTTGAGGAGCTGCAGAATCCAAACTAACTCACTGGAAGTAGAAGCAAGAGCCCTGTATTCGGCTTCGGCAGATGATCTAGACACTGTTGCTTGTTTCTTGGATTTCCAAGAAATGAGGGAATCACCAAGAAACACACAATAACCAGTAGTGGATTTTCTTGAATCCAGACAGGAAGAATA